ATGATAATTTGTTTAATCATTGATAATCAAACACAGTAATCAGTGATGATCAAATACAGTATTTTAAGTTTTATTTTTGTTTTACTTTTGCCAGGGCCAGCTGTAAAACAATTACCGTATTTGACGTAATAAGCGCCCAGGGCGCTCTCAATTAGAAATAGGGGGCTGTTATTAGAATATTATTTTGGTGGAAAGATAAATTTCGTGGTTTATGCTGACACACTGAAATGTTTATATGCGACAGATGCATTGTTCCAGAATTTAATTCCCCATAATTAAAAAAGCATATAACACACGAGCGCGTATATTAAACGCGAATAAATAAGTCTTGTGTACATTGATCAATCGGAAGGAGTGCTAATTGGGATTGTTCACTTAGCCAATATATTAGCAAATATCGCTGTGGGCACTTATTAGAGCGGGGCGCTTATTACGTCGAATACGGTAAACAGAAATGTCTTTGACATTCATGAAATAAGACCTAATTCTTCTTGGAGTCTGTCAAGGATGCAACTTAAGTCCTTCTTATATTAATTGATTTGATAAGTCAACAACTTGAAAGGGAGAGAGATATACCGGTATATGGGATCTTTTAAAATGTTTTTGGAAAAATAGAAATTGTTCAGTTAATACAAAATTGGCATGAAATATATTTTTCTTCAGGTTACACCAAATAAAATATTTTGTAAACTGTGTGCATGCTGGATGTCCTAAAAAAATATGTTGTGAAAAGCAAAGTTAAATGGCAATGCTAAAAAAGGAAGACCAAATTGAATAACTCATGTTAGAGAATCTCAAAGTCTTTGTTACAGGCTATTTGATGTTGTGAGAACATGAATGTTTCAAATCTTCTTAAGAGAATCACCGCCTCCGTGGCCTAGTGGTAGAGCGTCCGCCCGGAGAGCAGAAGGTCCGGGGTTCGATCCCCGGCCGCGTCATACCAAAAGACGTTAAAAGATTGTACTTGTTGTTACCCTGCTTGGCGCTCAGCATTAAGGGGCTAAAACAAGGACTGGTCGACTCGGAGTCAGTATACTGTGTCTGAGTGGGGTATTCATGTTAAACTGCAGCATGGTATCTCAGTGAACTAGCACTAAAAATCGGCATCAGTCGGACTAGTACAAGCAGCCACACACACACACACACACACACACACACACACACACACACACACACACGTGCATGCACGTCGCTATATAAGTGCAATAATCTTGGACGCGAGGTTAAACCCAATTTCACCTCACCTCACCTCGTGAGAGACTCTATGTGACCTATGAAATACCCAGTAAGTCAGGGTTCACAGTATCTGCAACACAATCACAAAGCAGCAATGTTTAATTGTACATGCAGTTGACAAATTTTGTTTAATTCAGTCACAGCTTTATGCATATAATCCAAAGAAATGTTGTAGTTTTATGAACAATAGGCTTTGGACATGGGACAAATATGCATATAGTCCAGTAATGCAGGTATGCAGGTAGGAGATGTGAGATGTCCCAGACGCCTGTCAACATGGTCGTCATCAGGAAGTTGACTACAAGCGTCTTAGGCCAGCTGAGATGCGTGGCTGTCTTCTCCCGGGGCCTAAAGGCCACCTTGGTAATCTCAGTTGTGTTATCTAAATTCTCATCTCATTTGTATTATGTAGATTTGATGTTTCGCCTGGAGAGAAAAGAACTCTTCATTTTGACTCCAAATGAATTTAATAATCAACAGTTGTAACACCAGGTCTTTGCTGCAGAAAATCTGTTTTAGACTAAATCTACACCAAATCCATGCAACACGAAGTCTACTCTACACTAAATCCATGCAACACTTAATTTACGCTACCCTCAATCCATGCAACACTAGTCTACTCTACCCTCAATCCATGCAACACTAGTCTACTCTACCCTCAATCCATGCAACACTAGTCTACTCTTCCCTCAATCCATGCAACACTCAATCTACTCTACCCTTAATCCATGCAACACTCAATTTACTCTACCCTCAATCCATGCAACACTCAATCTACTCTACCCTCAATCCATGCAACACTAGTCTATTCTACCCTCAATCCATGCAACACTAAATCTACTCTACCCTTAATCCATGCAACACTAAATATACTCTACCCTTAATCCATGCAACACTAAATATACTCTACCCTTAATCCATGCAACACTAAATCTACTGTACCCTCAATCCTTTCAACACTAAATCTACTCTACCCTCAATCCATGCAACACTAAATCTACTCTACCCTCAATCCATGCAACACAAAATCTACTCTACCCTCAATCCATGCAACACTAAATCTACTTTACCCTCAATCCATGCAACACTAGTCTACTCTACCCTTAATCCATGCAACACTAAATATACTCTACCCTTAATCCATGCAACACTAAATCTACTCTACCCTCAATCCTTTCAACACTAAATCTACTCTACCCTCAATCCATGCAACACTAAATCTACTCTACCCTCAATCCATGCAACACAAAATCTACTCTACCCTCAATCCACGCAACACTAAATCTACTTTACCCTCAATCCATGCAACACTAAATCTACTCTACCCTCAATCCATGCAACACTAGTCTACTCTTCCCTCAATCCATGCAACACTAAATCTACTCTACCCTCAATCCATGCAACACTAGTCTACGCTACCCTCAATCCATGCATCACTAAATCTACTCTACCCTCAATCCTTTCAACACTAAATCTACTCTACCCTCAATCCATGCAACACTAAATCTACTCTACCCTCAATCCATGCAACACTAGTCTACGCTACCCTCAATCCATGCATCACTAAATCTACTCTACCCTCAATCCTTTCAACACTAAATCTACTCTACCCTCAATCCATGCCACACTAAATCTACTCTACCCTCAATCCATGCCACACTAAATCTACTCTACCCTCAATCCATGCAACACTAAATCTACTCTACCCTCAATCCATGCAACACTAAATCTACTCTACCCTCAATCCATACAACACTAAATATACTCTACCCTCAATCCATGCAGCACTAGTCTACTCTTCACTAAATCCATGCAAAATTAAATCTACTCTCCCCAAAATCCATGCAACACTAAATCTACTCTACCCTCAATCCATGCAACACTAAATCTACTCTACCCTCAATCCATGCAACACTAAATCTACTCTACCCTCAATCCATGCAACACTAATTTTACTTTACCCTCAATCCATGCAACACTAAATCTACTCTACCCTCAATCCATGCAACACTAAATCTACTCTACCCTCAATCCATGCAACACTAAATCTACTTTACCCTCAATCCATTCAACCCAAAATCTTTGCTACAGTCTTAAGCTATGATAAGTCTACACTATGTCTAGGCTTGACATAGTCAACACTATTCTAACTCAACATTACTCTTAGTATCTGTTTACTTATAATAGCTGTAAGGATGTCCTCGTGCTAACCTTGCTGTTATATATAGGTCTTTAAGTCAGTTTGGATTGTTCACAGCTAACTCAAACATTTCCATGAGCATAAAACCCAACACTCAAACAAGTACCATCTTTTAACGTCTTTTGGTGTGACACAGCAGGTTGTCGAACCTCGCTCTCCATTCTTGACTAGTGTAATGATCTCGTACAATCACTTCAGCATGTTGGTCTCTACTCCTATATGTATTATAATACTGCAAAAGAAGTTAACGACCACTTGATTCTTTCATATTACTACAGTTAATCTGTCATGCCAATTGTAGTAATATGAAGGAATCGGGATGTCTGGCCAGCATATTGTATTGTGACATCACAGGCAGACATGGAGCAGTGCATCTTTCCGAGGCAAGAGAGTTAACTGACTTTAAAAGTCCAGTTTCCACCCTTGCCGAACTAGGCTGGAATTCCTGGGCTCGATCGTAGCGCCACCAGTGGCTGTTACGAGTTATGTCCTTTCTATGCCTCTCCTATTGACCAATCAGATTCAACCTCTAGTATCACTTTCATTTGCTTCAAACAAAACGGTGGCGCTCAGTCAAGACAATCTGATCGATAATCAAGATCTATATTGTGATAAAACGAGTTTTACATCGCGAAGTGCATCAAATCACGTGAGCACCTTGATTAAAAACAGGAAAAGATATAGAAAATATCTGTTGACAACGAGTTAGTTGTGCGCATGCTTTGCAAATCCTGCAGTCGACCAAAATCTGCATGACACTCTACGAACTGGATTTCTATTTCGGTGCACGATTTTGATTTGACTATGCATAGACTCGTTAGTCCAGCCAAAATGTAACTCCATAATACCAGCCTAGTTCGGCAAGGGTGGAAACTGGACTTTTATAGTCAGTTAACTCACTTGCCTCGGGAAGATGGGAGCAGTGAGATTGTAGACTATCACAGGTTGTGTCAGTGTGTTCTCTTGGAGAAGGCCTTGTTTGTGATATTACTAGGGCTGCACGAATACACTATGAGTGAGCAAGTGAGTGAGTTTGGTTTAACGCCGCTTTTAACAGTATTCCAGTTATATCGCGGCTTGTCAGCTTAATGTGGGACGACTGGGCCACCCATGCCCCCCGAATACACTATGAAGCGAATATGATTCGTATCACGAATATAGGGTAACAGATATAAATATTTTTTCACGAATACAATAACAAGTCGGCAGTTGATGTATTATTTGACATGGTTTGTTAATTATTAATATATTAAACATTGATATACTTCACCTATCCAGGTACTAGTATCTGCTCAAATGCGACAATGACCAGTGACAACAATACTATCAAATTAAATATTATGATAGTGTCGTCTGTGAAGAAATCTATGCATATAATATGTTGTTCTTTTGTATTTTTAGGTACAGGGTAAATGCACATGATTGCATATTCATGAATATTCAATTCTAGTGGTCACGAATAACGAATTCAATTCTTGAATGGATACGGTTCGATTCACCCAATATGCCAGTGAATATGCCTAGATATTACACAATAAAATATGTTGGTATGAATGTGTTGCAGACTGGTGCACTTCGACTATGTGAAGGGGGAAGACCTGGAGAAGATCGGGATGGGGAAACCCGCCATCAGACGTCTGCTGGATGCTGTCAAAAGAAAAAAGTCCTTTCGCAAAAAAGGGGGAGGAATCCTGGACAAGGTAGTCATGGCAATTGACTCCTCAAGACAATTTAAATTAAATTAATTTCTTTTATGTCAGTATCGGGTAGGGGTGAGGGTGGTGGTGTTTCAACAGTTATACATTGTGATGAAAGGGGCCTACTAGAGAATTTACGCCCCCTGGGATCGGTCCCCAGCACCCTGTGCTGGTCGTAAGAGGTCACCAAATGGAACGGATGGTCAGACTCGGTGACTAGGTTGATTGCATATCATCGTAACTCTGACGGCAAGGATCGCAGGTCACAATATCAATCCCTGGATTGTCCTGTCCAGACTTGATTATTTGCAGCCTGCTGGGGGAGGTCGGGTAGCCTAGTGGTGAAAGCGTTCGCTCGTCATGCCGAGGACCCAGGTTCGAATTCTGACATGGGTACAATGTGTGAAGCCCATTTCTGGTGTCCCCCCGCTGTGATATTGCTCGAATATTGCTAAAAGCGGCGTAAAACCATACTCACTGACTCACTCACTACAGGCTGCTGTCATAGAGCTGGAATATTGGTGACCTGGAACCTTGTTTGGAATCCAACCAGGTGAAAGGTGATTGCTTTACTAGAAGCTAATTCCCTGATATGTCCCCTGTCAGTGTGTACTAGCATTGTTTTCCTTGTATTTCAGATATTACCGAGTGGGAAGACGAACGAGAAGGGATCAATGAAGAAGCAGAGTCCTGGCTCCAGGGTGACTGAACAGGCACTAACATGCCTCATAGACCAGAAAAATCTCAACATGTATGAAAAACTAGGCAATGGGTCATTCGGCGTCGTCAGGAGAGGGGACTGGATGACCCCTGCTGGGTCAAAGGTAAACTTGAAAATTTGGAAAAATATCATCTCACCAGTATTTTTTTCACAAATAAGGATGACGATTGTATTGCTTCAGAACCTCAGGTTGCAACTTCTGGTTACTGATGGAAGGGAGACAACTCTGTCAATGGGCTGTGTTATGGTTTTCAAATATATGATTTAACAGACTGCAAATAAATTTCATGGTTAGATTTACAAATTTACATTTACAAATTGTTATGTTAATTAAAGGAGACGGGTTATTAATGAGAAAGGCAAATCTTTGATATTTTATCGTTATTTTCAGAAAAGTGTTGCAGTTAAAATTTTGAAGAATGATGCCCTTGCACAACCTGGAGCCTTCGAAGACTTTGTGAAGGAAGTGAACGCCATGCATACCCTCAACCATCCCAATCTGATCAAACTGTACGGTGTTGTCCTCTCCGCACCTCTCATGATGGTATGTAAAGAGAGAGGACTTCCCAACCTATTTGACCAGGATTGAAAATGACTTAATTGGGAGTCAGACTTAATTTGGGTGTCGGACTTAATTTGGCAGTTGGCCTTAATTTGGCAGTGGACTTGAAAAGGCCTTAGTTTGATAGCCTGATCTTTATAAGCCTTAAATTTTAAACTGTCTTGAACAGGCCTTAAACTTCAAATAAGTGCTTTTAAAATGCCCTTGAAATGGGCAACCCATTTGTTGTCCAATAAATGTATCACAATTATTTTGTTCTCTTATAATGTGATGATGTCATGTGGAAAATGTTTATCTGTAACTTGATCAACAAATATTTTGGACACACTGGTATGTGGGCCTTTTCTGCTAAACCTGATGCATCCCAGGTAAGAGGACAGTTTTCCTACTTCAGATAACAGAGTTGGCTCCCCTGGGTGCCATGTTGGACCGACTGCGAGCCCTGCAGGAGAAGATACTGATCTCAACCCTGGTGGAGTACGCAATACAGATATCTACTGGCATGAGCTACCTCGAGTCTAAACGCTTCATACATCGAGACCTGGCATGTAGGAATGTCCTATTATCTACACCAGACAAGGTAACCATTATGATGATGTGATGATGATGATGATGATGATGATAGTGATGGCAAAGACGATGATAGCAACAACAATGATAATGTGATGATGATGATGAGATAATGACGGCAAAGACGATGATAGCAGCCAGAATGATAATGTGTTGAAGTTGATAATGATGATGACAAGATGATGACGACAAAGACGATGATAGCAGCAACAATGATAATGTGATGAAGATGATAATGATGATGATGAGATAATGACGACAAAGATGATGACAGCAACAACAATGACATTGTGATGTGATGATGATGATGATAAGATGATGATGATGATAAGATGACGTCAAAGACAATAACAACAACAATCATAATGTGATGAAGATGATAATGATGATAATGAGATGATGACGGCAAAGACGATGATAGCAGCCAGAATGATAATGTGTTGAAGTTGATAATGATGATGACAAGATGATGACGACAAAGACGATGATAGCAGCAACAATGATAATGTGATGAAGATGATAATGACAAAGATAATGACGACAAAGACGATGATAGCAGCAACAATGATAATGTGATAAAGATGGTAATGACAAAAAGGATGATATGAACAACAAATTCTGAAATGTAAACGGCTCCGAACCTCTGTCTGTGAATAGTGTAACAAGGGAGACAACTCATTAGGTAAGGCTTTATTTAGGCTTCAATGCAGCTGGGGGGTTTTAAATTTTGTAATTTGTTGTTATTTGACCAAATTAATAACAAGTACTGATTGTTCTGCTTGACGACTGTAAATAATGAGGACACTCTTTCTTCAGGTAAAGATTGGTGACTTTGGGTTGATGCGAGCTCTTCCTAGTCAGGAGGATCACTATGTGATGTCCGAACACAAGAAGGTGCCGTTTGCATGGTGAGAAGATATTTGTTTCAGGGATTAACCTGAGTCTTGCTTTCGATTTTAAGTTGGGTTATGAGGAAGACCAACAAAAAAAACTGAACTTAGCACGAACACAAAGTGCAAAATTTATCATCGCTCTTCATAAGAAATTGTGAATAATACGTATTGTGTGGCTTAGAGAAGTTTTAAAATGGGCAATACCTTTCGGGAATAAGGTTTCGTGAACTTTGAAATTTGACATTTCCAGTGGTCCAAAAAGTGCCCTGGTCCTGCTCTAGACTACATCTAGTCTCTGAAATGAACATATTGTACTACATATATACTACAGTGATCTAGACTTGCCAAACATTATAGACTTGCATGGGCTGTATTTGATATATATTTGTATCAGGGTCTGTAAGACAGACTAGTCCTGCTCCTGCTCTTCTTTGACTGTCACAACTGACTTTGTTGGGTTCCATCAACAACATCAACAATATTGAAGTATCTGAGGACTATTTGATCTGGTGTCTATTTGTTGCAGGTGCGCCCCAGAGAGCCTCAAGTCGCGGCAGTTTTCCCACGCCAGTGACACGTGGATGTTCGGGGTGACGTTGTGGGAGATGTTCACGTTCGGCCAGGAACCATGGCTGGGCTACAATGGCTCCCAGGTAAAAACTTGATGGGCATACTGGGAGTGACTTCTGTTTGATGCTGACAATAATTTACTTACACAGGGGTTCAGATCTGTTAAGTTTCTAGTACATTGATTGATTGTCATCCAAAATGTCCTAAAACGTTTTTCGAAAAATTCTATAATGATATAGAAGAATTTCCTATCAAAATTGTAAATGTTCTATTGCTTTTTGTCCCCAGCAAAAGTACTGCTTGCATATATATGTTATGTTACACTTTTTTACAATTTTTGGTTTATGGAACTGATGAATCATTACAAAAAACACAATCAGAAATAAGATGAACATGACTAAATTATATTTTTGATTGGCAAATAAAGGATATACAGTAACTGCAAAATTCAAACAAAAGGGTGAAGTATTTTTTTATATAATTGATTAATTGCAATGTTTTTGGTCTCTTGACTCTGTAAACACCTTATGACAATAAATGCATGTACATCTTACTGTCAAATAGGGGGCGGTCGGGTAGCCCAGTGGTTAAAGCATTCGCTTGTCACGCTAAAGACCTGGGTTCGAATCCCGACATGGGTACAATGTGTGAAGCCCATTTCTGGTGTCCCCCGCCGTGATATTGCTGGAATATTGCTAAAAGCAGCGTAAAACCAAACTCACTCACTCACTCACTACTGTCAAAAAGTAAACATCCTTTGTTGGAAGAATTTCTATTCAGTGGTATTGGAATCAACCATTGAATCACTGTGCATTTTCACTTCACTTCACCTCACTCACTCACTCACTCACTCACTCACTCACTCACTCACTCACTCACTCTATCTCTCACACGATCAGGGGCGGTCGGGTAGCCTAGTGGTTAAAGTGTTCGCTCGTTACGCCAAAGACCCGGGTTCGATTCCCAACATGGGTACAATGTGTGAAGCCCATTTTTGGTGTCCCCCGCCATGATATTGCTGGAATATTGCTAAAAGCGGCGTAAAACCATACTCACTCACTCTCACACGATCACCACACAATCACTATCACTGATCATGCACTCTCTAAATCACTCCATCACTCATTTTCTGTTTCGAGATTCTTCATAAGATTGACGTGGAAGCAGAGCGTCTGAGCAAGCCCAAGTGTTGCCCAACCGACATCTACCAGCTCATGTTGCAGTGTTGGGCCCACAAGTCTCACGATAGACCAACGTTTGTGGCACTCAAGGACTTCCTGTGTGAGGTAGGTGATGACGCTCTGTATACCATATATTCTCATTTTCAATCAATCAGGATTTCATATGATCAATCTTGTTTCCTAAACAGGTTATGTGAGAGATCTGTACAGTATTTAGGGCGGTCGGGTAGCCTAGTGGTTAAAGCGTTCACTCGTCACGCCGAAGACCCGGGTTTGATTCCCGACATGAGTACAATGTGTGAAGCCAATTTCTGGTGTCCACCGCCGTGATATTCCTGGAATATTGCTAAAAGCGGCGTAAAACCAAACTCACTGACTCACTGACTCAATGACTCACTGTACAGTATTGTTAGTCACAATATCATCTGAAGTGAAAGAAATATGGTTTGTCATCAGTGTTTGTGTTCATGCAGAGCATGGGTGTTTTACACATTAAATTTTTTTTAAATATGCACGAGATATTTTGTATGTGTGTTTTGCATGCATTGCTTTTTGTCTACTTATGTCAGTACATCACATAAATGAAAGAAACAAATCAAAGTGTACTGACGAAAGTGAATCGAAATTTGAAAACTCCCATTGATAAAAATAGTTCTTAGCTAGATGTCACTCACAAATCCAAACAGTGAATGAATAATTGTAATCTCAATTAAGGTTAATTTAAGTTTGAAAAATGATACCCCTTCGATTCACCATGAAAGCAAACAGTTGACACAGAGATTTTGTCTAAACTTTATCAGTGTTCCCCCTGGCTTTTGAAAATGCCACTGTTTGTGGACTGCGATCAAAAAATTACCAGTCCCCCCTAATTTTTGTCAGTCCCAACTTTCAACAAATAAAAAAACGTATGAAAATTACATGGTTTTAATTCTTTCAACATCTTGTTCGATTGCACTGACATCATCTCTGAAGTAACTTAGTTCGATCTACACATCATTCACACAAAGAGTCAGTCACAAGTTTGTCCTTTTTATTGAGAATATACAATTACAAATATATAATTAACCTCAAAACAAAGTGAAATGTTAATTCCTTTCACTACAAATACTTGTACACATGAGGGAACCCTGATGATACACCTTCACAAGATAAGCTGACTTCGTTCTAACAACATACTTATTTGAATATTGCCAGTGTTTTGTTCAACAACAAGAAAATACTTTATTTGTTGGTCCACAGGGACTGGAAGTCTAATGAATTACCAGTCAAAGCCTAATCTTACCGGTTAAAAACTGGTAATTATCGGTAAACTGGAACGCTGATATATACGTTTTGTTTTACATGCACTGGCAACAAAAACAGCACGAACACTTGTCATAAGTAGGTCTGTGATTGTTTATCTTAGAGAATGATAGACTTGGATGCTTTTAGTGGCCCCTAATACTATTTTTAGGCGTTCTACTGGAACTGTTGGAAATTGTATAAATCTGTGTGTATTTTGAGGACTTTACTGATTTGAGTAATTTTGTTGTTTACCTTTCATAATAGGCAAAGATTTCTGTTGTTGTTATGTGCATGTACAGTATGTGAATACCTCTGTGATATTGTTGCCTCCCAATTATGAATTTTAATTATAATTCTGGATAGAAAAGGTCCTCAGCGAGTTATCCTCGTTGTACGAGGCAAGCAAATAGATTTGGGGGTCAGACTCGGTGACTTATGTATCTTGGAAATGTTGTGGGATGTTGCTCATTATATCAATCACTGGTTTTGTTGCCAAGGACATAAAATGTAATCACTGAGTTTTATTACTTGCAGGTGCGCACCAATGATATGAGAGCCACTCAGAAGTTCCAGGAGAAGGATAAACTCGAGATAGAGGAGGGGGATCTAATCACCATCATTGACGGAAAGTGAGTATACTGTATTTACTTCCTTAAAAACGGGGATTGCATGGTCACAATGATGGTGTTACTTGGATCTCGAGAAGTTGAAGATGGAGATCTCATCACCATCACTGACAGAAAATGGATATTCATTCTTTTACTATTCTGTCAAAATGTGGATTGTATGCCCGGGCTGCATGGACAATGGCTGTTTCGTGCAGATACTACTTGGATGGGTGTAATATTAGTGATTACGGAGGAAGATCTCATTATCAATGATGAAAAGTGTGTTTACCATGTTTAGTGTAGCTTTGCTGTTCCATTAAAATGTAGATTGTGCCCACAATGTGAACTCAGTATGGATGGGTGCATCACTCTTGCCGAACTGGGCTGGTATTATGGAGTTATATTTTGGCTGGACTAACGAGTCTTCGCATAGTTCAATCAAAATCAAAATCGACATTCGGTTCGTAAGCTGTTGTGCAGATTTTGGTCCATTACAGGATTTGCAAAGCATGTGCACCACCAACACGGCATCAACAGATATTTTCCAAATGTTTTCATGCACTTAGCGAAGTAAGACCTGTTTTATCACAATATAAATCTTGAATATCGATCAGATCATCTTGACTGGGCGCTGCCATTTTGTTTGAAGCAAATGCAAGTGATATGAGAGGTGGAATCTGATTGGTCAATAGGAGAGACATAACTCATAATAGTCACAGGTGTTGCTACGATCAGGCCCAGAAATTCCAGACTTTTACAGTCAGTTAACTCCCTTGCCTTGGGAAAGTGGGATGGGTGAGCAGATTGATGCATAACCTGAAGCAGTATGCTTTTCTCGTGTTTGATGCATGTTGCATGGCTATTTTTGAGGCTGTTGAGATGAAGAGTTCTTGAATGAGTAACCAGCAGAAAAAGATGAACTTTATGCCAAGACACAGGTATCTCCTTGTCTTGATGATAGGGATCTTTGCTTGGGAGTTGTGGTATTCTTCACTCACTTCACTGGTGTCCGGCCCAGTCATCTAAGACACTGCCAGCCATTGTGTAGAATCGTGTCACATGGACAAGTATCCTATCACAATGGGTCCAGATCCCCATTCAGCCCTATGTGATCATTGGTTTGTCAGCTCCATGCTCACGTGTTCCACCAAGTGGCCAACATCAAGTTCACAGGCTAAACTACTGTTTACTTCTGTGTTAAACCCAACTCGCTCACTCACTTCATGGTGAGGGCACAGGTGGCCCAGTCGTCTAAAGCGCCATGATTCGCTGTGCAGGGTTGCATCCCTTGGGCACGCCAGAAACCTATGATTGTGGGTTCGAATGCCGGTTCCCTCGATTATGTTTCTAGGTTTGTTAGCACCATACCTGTGGTCGATGGTTTCACCAAAGTGGTAAACTTCGGGCTTTCCTCCCATATTAAGCTGACACGCCGTGATATAACTGGAATACTGTTAAAAGTGGCATTAAACCCAACTTACTCACTCACTCATTTCATGGAACACAAACAGTTCTTCTCACATCAGCTGAGGGCCCTTCAACAACAATAGACGCCGAAGACCCGGGTTCGAATCCCGACATGGGTTCAATGTGTGAAGCCCATTTCTGGTGTCCCCCGCTGTGATATTGCTGGAATATTGCTAAAAGTGGCGTAAAACCAAACTCACTCACTCACTCACTCAACAACAATAGAGCATGAACAATGTCAAGGGAGACAACTCTGTTGAGACTAATGTCACAGTCTTTGCTGGAAGCTCAATATGTGACCTATTACATAGGACCCGTAAAGATCCGGGGTAGAATAGGTCTTCCGCAACCCACGCTTGCTGGAAAAAGCAACTCTGCTTGCCGCAAGAGGCGACTAACGGGATCAAGAGGTCAGGCTCGCTGACTTGCTTGATGCATGTCATCGTATCCCAATTGCATGGTCGATGTTCATGATGTCAATCAATGGATTGTCTTGCCAGTGACAACAAACAAACAAAATAAAACTTATTACATAGCTGCCTTTTTTAAGGAATAGATTTTTAACAATATCCCATTTGTTGGTCTGTTCTTGGGTCCTTGTGGTTTTAATCCAGGTTTTTTTAACTTTAAACTCTCCAATGTTATGACATGGACACCATGACATCCATGCTAAATTTGAAATACTGTTTGGCGCCAGTGGAGGGCACTGAGTGCTCTAAGATGGAGCTGTGTTGAGCTGCATCTCTCTGATCAATTGCGAGATTTTCCCTTTCATAATGACCATCTGATTCGACTCTTGTCAGTGTCATGATCGAGAGGCTACTAATTTGATTGGATGGTCAGGCTCTCTCACCTGGTTGATGCCTGTCATCATATCCCAACTCATCTTCCCGAGGAACCAGCCTAACTGGTGGTCACAATATGTTGCCTGGTTGATTGTATATCATCATACTTCGATTCCCAACATGGGTACAATGTGTGAAGCCCATTTCTGGTGTACCCCGCCGTGATATTGCTGGAATATTGCATAAAGCGGCGTAAAACCATACTCACTCACTCACTATATCATCGTACCCTAGGATTATTACTCATGCTTTATCAAGGATTGGTCTGTGCCTGTTCAGAGTCTGATATTCGGCCCCAAACCAGCAGGCGACTAAATGAATGGGATGATCCGCCTCATTGACAAAGGTGATAGAGTGTCATCTTACTCTGAAAGAGTTACACATTGCTCATTGGGAGCACGGGTGGCCCAGTCATCTAAGGCGCCGCTGTGCAGAGTTGCGTCCCTAGGGCACGCCAGAAACCTATGACTGTGGGTTCGAATCTCGGTTCGCCCCGATCATGTTTCTAGGTTTGTCAGCACCATACCCGTGCTCATGGGTTTCACCGAAGTGGTAAACGTCTGAGACCTGCATCACTTTTGGCTTTCCTCCCACATTAAGCTGACACGCCGCGATATAACTGGAATACTGTTAAAAGCGGGGTTAAACCCAACTCACTCACTCATGATATCGACCACCAGTTTGTCTGCACCTGAATCAGTTATTCACAGGTGTAACAACACTGAGTGCAGTATGTCATCACAAATGAAGTGCCCTCCATCATTGGCAAGTGAATTGTTATCAACTCCTTGCTAATTCAGTGAGGAAATAGACATCAATATCTGTGAAAGAAACATTCTATATATTCATATGCACATATTGGAAAATTGATCTAAGACCACTCATAGCATGAATGCAGGCATATCTAGGAACACAAGCATCTTGCATAGACCCACTATGTTATACTGACGTTTATCTGTATTTCTGTATTTCGAGTCTCCGTTAGCTGTGCATCTAGGTTAGGATAGACATCCTTACAGGATTTATTGATTGACACGTATGTACATTTCAAGTTTAGACGTTGTTGCTATGGGGGCGTCATGGCAACTTGATGCTCGCTGCCTGTAGAGACACCTACGCATCATGTACATGTCTTCAAATGTCCACCCCCAACATACACCAGGCAGATGCACCTGCTCACCCTTGTGTTTGTTGACGAGGTCAGGTTTCTTGTCGCTTGTGATTGTGAGATACGGATTGGAGATAAGAGTGCATTTCATAATTGTTAGAAATCTCTTCAAAAAGCAGAGTCCATTGAACGATTACTATGGGCTAAAACTATGAACATGTGTTGAAGAATTGCAAATGGGAGTTTTATGTTGTTTGTGTCATGTATTCATACATTATGACATTGTATACCACAGATATATAACATTGTATATCACATCTATATACCACATATACACTCACTCACTCACTCACTCAAACACTCACTCACTCACTCACTCACTCACTCACTCACTTACTCACTCAAACACTCACTCACTCACTCACTCACTCAAACAAACACCCAAACACTCACTCACTCACTCACTCACTCACTCACTCACTCACTCACTCACTCACTCACTCACTCAAACACCCAAACACTCACTTACTCACTCAAACACCCAAACACTCACTCACTCACTCACTCACTCACTCACTCACTCACTCACTCACTCACTCAAACAAACACCCAAACACTCACTTACTCACTCACTCACTCACTCACTCACTCACTCACTCACTCACTCACTCACTCACTCATCATCATCTGCTGCAAAACTTCAGTTTTTTAAGCCTTTTCTCAAAACCATATTTGCTAATACTTTATGTTGATGTTTTTAACACTATTGGATTCACTTACATAATTTCATAATTAATTGTAATTAATTCACTTGTAATTGTAAGTAAATCAAAACGAAAAAGTACCACTAAATATTAAGTAATATAAGCCATTAAACAAATAATACTTTTCAGTGTACACCTTTAATGGCCATCTTTGTGGACATTCCAAGCTGTTGTTACATATCCAGGTGAGCTACAGTGCTGTAGCTATGTGCTCTGTCCTAATGAGGGATGAAATAGGGGGACCTCATTTGTTTATTTCCTTTATCCTTTGTAACAGGCTTTTATTTTCTACTTTTTCTCTGGTGCACTACTTGACCTTTGTATGACAACAGGTGATATTGCATCGGTATAAATACCTTCCTTCCATCAGTGACTAATCTTTTCTTCTGTACCCAGCTGTATATCAAAGCTGAATGTTCCTCTACCCTGTGAATATATATGTACACAATCTCAGCGAGGCAAAGCTCTGTCATTGTCTCAATTTCAACTGGTTTTATGTTCTGTATGATAAGTGTAGGTGGGTGTAGGCGTGGGGGCCGTATCAAACATTTATACTTGTTTTTTTACAAGCTTCCAAATATATCCTCACATCTTTACTATATATCTCGTGTTGAAGTGTCCAAAAGCAATTTCACTTATTTAATATATTTCTTATCAATTTTGTCATGATTGGAAAGAAATGGGTCAAAATGTTAAATTCCCACAGTGACACGTAAACAGCTGTTAATGATGATTGGCTTGTCATCAAGGACTGCGAAGTCATGCTATGTTATATTAGTCTCAGGTTATATACCAGAGGATGTGAAATGTTCAGTGGGACGTTGCAGTGATGGATTT